GTATATATATTGTGCACGTACTATATCTTTAAAATTTCAGTAGGATGAAGTTTACCCTAGCTTCATTTTATATACATGTATATATTTTTTTTACCTTGATGTATTTTTATCTTTTTCCTTACAATTTTTGCTCAGTCAGTGTTGGTGCACTAACAGCATACGGTTGGTGGCATATTTACGGGATTGGTTAGAGATACTGATGAATTTTAGACTAGAAGACTTAGTTGTTTTTGACTGAGTGGCGGAGCGTTCATTTATAATACATTTCAAACTGCCAGTACATTCGTGCACAGGCGCAGCTCTTTCCTTCAATACATCGCTATATTTCAGATAGCATACAGCCTTCGTGAATTGTCCGGCGACCCGGAAAAGGGCATCGCGAGTTATACCAAATTACGCTGCTGCCTATTCAACGGTACAACATTATGTAGGTGTGAAAATATCGATGATAGAAAACGACACGTGGAGTTTACTATAAAGGTTATGGGCTAGGTAAGGGTATAGTGAGAAATTTCGTAGCCGTTATTTTCCATGGGCCTGGATGGCCTGTAGCGGTTGATTAGGTATTGCGCGACAAAAAGCTGACAGGGTTAACATAACAAGGCGATTTGACAGAACGATGAGCTTATTCTTTTGACTATAATAGCCGTTGAGTGCAAAAAAAAAGCCTTAAATATTTGATACTTTACTTTGAATATGAGCACAGTGACTGGGCATGATCTCACTCTTCTTTTTTGAAAACAGCAAACCCGAAAGTACGAATAGTTCACCTAGGTTTCACTTCGGGCATGGGAACCATCGCTTAGAATTGACAGTTTTAAGTAATATTTTCACCAGATCCTGTGCAAAGATTTAGCAGATTGAATCCGCCGCACTTCTGAAGTCTAATTAGGAATTCTTCATATACTTATGACGCTGATGCTGTTTTATACTTGATGAGTAAAATACAACTATATTGTACTCGACAAAAGCAAACATCGTCAGCTCATAAGCTTGCGACCTACTACAAAATACGCACACTGCCATATCGGCGACCCCTGTACTAGCCGTCGATAAATGAAACGACCCAAAACTTGCATCTCTCCGGGGACCTCGAGAACGAGGGCTTCTCATGTGGGGGCGATATGGTCCGTTTTAGATTTGCCATATACATGACACCGCACCCGGATCCTGCACAGATGCATCAGCGGATCCCCACTGCATTTCGCCATGTAGAGACGTGCATTTTCAGCAAGGACGACACCATTTGCGTTTCACGAAGCAAAATAAAAAATTTACCGGCTGTCTCTTTTGCGCATGCTTTTTGTTTATTTAATCTGCTGTTTTTGTCGTATATTCGCAAATAGTTAACGATCTGAGAAGCTAGTTCGCTATTTCGAAATGACACCTGCCTCGCTTTTTACCAGTCGAACAACGCTCGGTGATGGGAACGAATTTTTGAACGATGTTCTAGCTTGGTGCCAAACGTATATAGTGGTATTATTCTTTACATCACACTCTACGGAAAACTTCAATTTACTTATTAATTCATTATATGCAGCTGTCGGTACGATGGCTTGAGTACCTACGCATCCAGCTGTGTAAAGGATAAAAAGACCGCTGGCTGCATAATTTCTCGCTTCAAAGTGAACCACATTAGGATTTTCGTAGCGTGTTTTTGCGTGTGTTGATTGGGCGTAAGCGTGTCTCTGCGTCGTATCATCAGACGACTTCTCTGTGCCCTGTAAGATTGAGTGCAAGATATCCTAATGAAGCTAGTTTCTTACTCAGAGCATAAATACAAAGTGCGTAAATCAGTCGTTGCTGGACCCGAGTTGTCTGTTTGGCGATGAATAGATTTTCGGTCGGCTCTGCTATTGTACATGGCTAACAAATGGCGCACAGCTCCGTACCTTGGAACGACACTAATTCTAGATTCAGTGTCATAAACTGAGTAAGACACCGACTATAACTATAAGAGGTAACTTTATTTACCATAAACATGCACGCACAATCCTTTGAATGCAATGCTCTGTAGACGTAGCTCGTTCGGCTTACTTATGAAACTAAGGGCGTCGAGCAGGTTAATATTTAAATGATCTGTAATACGGGAAAGCCGGTTGACAACATTTAATCTATTGTAGCTTTGTCGAAACTGCTAAAGTTGCACTTTATATTGTTCCGATTATTGCGTTCATTCCTTACACTCTAGATGCTTCTCGTGGCGTTCGGCATCTTGATGAAGGACTATGAAGGCCGAGAACAAGATAACTATGAAAGCGATAGGACGACATAGTGAGAAATGTGGTTGTTGGAATCGTAACCGTTCGGGCTGGCGAGAATCTCAGCGTGTGGTGAAAATCAGCAGCTGCCACCATAAGACCTACAGTGGATGAAGTTGCACCTGCAACACACAGCGCCACAGTAGACCTAAATGTATAGACCCTGTTTTCAGCTGGTGCCTTGTCTACTTCTGTAGGTAAATAGTATCTAGTATATCGAGTTTTCACAACCACAGCCAGGAACGCGTGCTCTACTATGAGTTGCGATGATTACAGGACCGCCGGACAACCCTATGAGATTCGAACACCCGGGGAGACCCTTGAGGGACAAGACGGTATGCCCTCTCCGTGTATTTGATCAGGTCGCGATATAGTAAACCTCGCCTACTTGTGCATACTGCTATATGAAATGGCATTGACTGCCGCTGGCAATGCTGGCGCTGCTTCAGCCGCTGACATCTCTCGACATCGTTTTCCTTGGTCTCGACGCGCCCGCGATCTGACATTGACCACACTGACCCATTGCCCGTGCTGCTACTGCCGTGGTGCTAAAACCACTTGACCGTTACTGTTTGCTGATTGTGGCAATGCGCGCAAAACTATTGGCCTACGGAAAGCAGCGTGATGCTTAAGTGAACCTGTCGTATCGTTAAAGCAGCTGAGCGGTCGAAGTCGAAAGTTCGACGCACCTGAGAAGTATAGGAAATGTCTATTTGAAGAAAAACGACTAGAAAATAGCTGGCATCAAGATTCCTATGCCTTGTCGCACCCTACTGTTTCAAACGTAAGACCGTGCGTGTACCTGATTAAGCGGAGAGAGAAGCACGTTTTCGCTAAATTAGTCCCAAGTCTTCGCCAGTCGAAACTCACCCGCCGATAAATACGGTTAACTGTCTACGGCTTCGCTTTGTCTTTTTGTGTGGTTTTTTGAAAAGTTTAATGTCCTGCTACGGTGCCTTGCTGCTGTTCTGCTGAATAGACGGTAGAAAAGGTTGAATCTCGAACTCGGCTTGAAAGAAATACTCATCTTAAATCTTTCGTTTGTATGATCTGTTTTGTTATACATTACTTTTCTCCAGATATGACTACGATCTGGAAATATCAGTGCCGACGTTTTGTGAACAATAGATAGTTATTGGGACATATAATACTAGTGTCTGTTATTTGTATTCACGCTATAGACAGCTGATCTCTAACGAATGGTTTGGTGATTTCCTAGCCAGCGTTAGAGGCCACGACCGCTATATTTGAACTCATTACCTGTACGTTTTTTGCCGTCCCTCGAACGGGTCACAGCCCATGATAGCACAGTGCTAAAGCCAATATCGAAAAGAGTAAAATCTCAGCCCTTGCAGGTAGGCAGTGTCTCTATTGATCTAATACGTAAGGCTATCAGACACGGTAGGCGGTATATAATATCTATATACTGTCTGATCACTGTTACTCATCTTTATACTGCTGTATGTAACCGACCTATTTATGATGTACAAAATGGAGGATATATGCCTCTCCTCTTATCGAAGATACAATAATACTATGCGACGTTTACCAGTGCTTCGTTACGAGCTTCGTATTACCCTGGATATTGACTGCACTCATTGACCAGCACAAGTTAGCCGGTTGTCAGGAAGCAACAAAAAGATCGTGAACACTTGCGCTATCACTTGTCCTTCCAGCCTCATTGCCTACCTCGAGATTGTGTTTATGTGTATACCGTAAACAATAACAATTATACGATAATTCGACAAGGGTGAAGGTGTGCGAAGCTGACACAGACAGGGTTCGGAAACCAGTGGCTCCATAACTCGGTGGATTTGTGTGCGCTCATCATGGTTTTTCTTTTGCTTCCGTAGCTGAGAAGGTACACCATTTATTTGTTACGAGCATCTTAAGAGTGAATGGTCCGTTAGGGCCTGTGGAAATCACAGTGGGAATGAATCGATCAAAGCTACGACGATTCCATTCGGAATCGTACGACTTGAAACAACGCCCGTTGTTTCGGCGGCAGAGCCTATGTGAAGTGGTGTACGAAGAGCCGGAATTCGTTGGCCTGCTTGGTTATCACGAGCGACCTAGTTCGCCTCATACACCGGAAGAGGTGAGTGCTTATTTTCCACGTGATCTTTTCATTCTTTGACGACATCGAACGTTATGTATTGTGTAATATATATATATATATCATCGGCAGTGAACTTCGTTGGCCCCGCCTTCGTTCTTTTACATGGATAGGTACCGCAAGCAGTTCTTTTGGCCTCGGGCAGAAATGCCGAAAAGAAGCTGAATAATAGAAATTGTCTACCATGCCAGATATAGTTGGAGCCATTCCATGCTCATTATATATATCCTAATTGGATAGAAGAGAAAATGGCGGGATCCTTTTGATTACTCTGCATTATGCCTCTAAAGAAGCAAAGTTAGCGGCAGCACCCGCGCACCGAACTGAGTCGATGAATAAGAGACGTCGGTTAGATCGTTTAAATTTAAATTAAACTAAATTCTCACTTTCCCCGCTCTCCTGTCGCCGTTATCTTCTTCTAAATAATGGAAATGAGTGTATGAGTATGTGGATCGAAGAGCTTTTCATTAATAGGTTCTTGCTACGTTCGGTTATGAAAAGGAGCAGATCTCAAGTCTCTGGCAGAGATAAGAAAGTGAGCCTGCTGTGGGAGAAAACGAAGTGCTAGAACGTCCCGTTACAGCGCTGCTTTGTTCGTTCTCTCGATCGTCTTTGGATTACAAAACTGTCACAATAAAGGACACCTCTCATGGCGAGTACACAAGTGGACTCTTCGTCCAAGGCTCGTCTGCTCTGCTGTGAATCAGTGGCGCCCCCTGCTGGGCGCCCGTCCTGCTGCCTGGCTGGCTCTATAATAATAAAGGCCTTCAGCGCTCGAGACGGACGTTGTAGTTCCCGATTTTCTAATCCCTTCCTCACACGGCAAAAGCACCTCTCTCCCATTTAATCGGTGTCCTCTCCCTTTCAGCAACCCCACGTGCAGACCACGAGTCTTGTAGGCTCTCATGGACTTCGCTCGATATATCTCTACGTAATGCTTCGAGAAGTCACAGTCATGACGCCTGAGAAGTGCCGCCACAAATAGCCTTAGTTATCTTTGTTGAAAACTTACTGATAAACGCAAGATACACGTACTACGTCATAAATTTGTTAGATTTATCTCAGCTCAGTCGCGTCGTTCGACTGGTTCGACAAGGAACTTCGAGGGTTGGACTAGAACGTTACTGTGACCCTTGTGGCTATTGACAGAATATTGAAAAAGTGAAATAGTTCCGTGCGTCGTAGAATTACTATCGCTATCAGCCATCAGTGCTCTGCAAGCAGTGTACAGTTTGTCTGGTGCGCGAGATTACAACCGCTCGCCTAGGCTTGTTTTGTTTGCCTTTGATACTGCCTAAATTTACGGGGTGTTTCCTAATTTGAATAGACCCACCAACAATTGGTTAACTGAAATATTAAAGAATTTTGTCTCTTTATTTGACAGGACATTTTATTTAGCAATGTCGATTGAGGAACGAAGCTGCTCATGATGATTGGTGAGCCAGATTACCATTCCGTTAAAGCCATAACAGAAAAACTGTTTTGTTAACATAAACGCACGCTTTTTAACACATGATGCTTTTTCGTATCGGGAAAAAAGGGAAATGCTGTTGTGACCTATTCGAAGTAGCAAACTGTGTCGCAATCGTAATGGTTACGTTACTAGCTACTGTGAAGACAGCTCAAAAAACCAACACAAAATAAGGACAACTCCTCTACGACATAATCATGGGCATCAAGATGCCCAAGTTTAACATATAATCAAGAAAACAATCTACGGCCCGACTGACTGCTCTATTTTGCTAGTGGTTAATAAGTAATGATTTGCCAAATTGGACCGGCTTACTCAAGGGACGGACGTCAAGCAAGAAGACAACACTCGCCAGTTCGGGTCGACGACGACAAACTGCAGGCTCGTTGCGTGCCCGTGCTTGTCGACCCGACAAGCACGAAGTCCAATGTGAGGGGTTCGTTTTGCAGTTGGTGGTCTGGTCGACGGTGGACGCTCTCTGCGTATATGTCCTATACGCCTGTCAATCGATTGTGGCGTTTCATTGTCGCGACCGGGCGATGATGGAGTTTTGTGATTCGTTAAAGCTTTCGTAATATCTCCGCCATCGTAATTATGGTTCGGCTGGTAGCAAATTAACATGGTTGGTTACTGACGCAAAGGGTGGAACATAAGAGAGCAGTCAGGGAAAGCGATAGTCTATTTCGGCCACTGCTGCCTCAGTGGATAGTTTGTGGTCGCGTCATCGCTAAAGTTTCAGCACGGATTTCCTACAGAGGAGAAATCTTTACAAAAGAAGCAGTCGACGTTCAATACAGGTACGTCACAGCTTTACGAAACGTTGTCGAGTTTTCTCGGTGCTTATATTTACCGAAGATTGTCAAACAGGATTAAAATATTGGATTAAATGGATTTACTGTTCATATCAACTAGCTGCAACATAAGTACTATGGCTGCTACCTTCGAGTGTTTACGTGTTAGCATCGTAAGCTATTTAGTATCTTCGTACTGCCACATACGTGTAAATGAAACGTATTGCGAAAGGTAAACAATGACATCTCGTTCCTTAGAATGAGCGTTGAAGTTCGCCCAATTTTTTTGTGTTTCTCACCAACTGCCTCTATAGAGGAGGAATTGTGGACGTAGATTAATAACATTTTACCAGCACGTCAATCGTGTGGAATTGCTTTTTGTGTGGCTTATTATAACAGCAAGCGGCCAGGGGGTGCACATAGCATTCGGCACGGACGTACATGATTCTCCTAATAACGCTAGCGCAATCCGGACTTCTTCAAGGGTTGGAAAAAGTCGATCTTGCGAGGTTCACACTAGGTTCTGTTAGCAGCCTATGAGCCATGCGCGTTACGAATTTGCGAAAACGCTTAAAATGTTCCGAACCGTGCACGGAATAAATAATTGGCCAACATACTATGCGTCTGGCGACCCTGTCCCGTACCCAAGTTGGGCAAATGAATATGTATGGCACCCTTCTCAGCAGATATTCATTTTAAGCTGCCCAGACTGAGCGAGGGAGTTTGGCCTCACATTCCTATACGTTTCCTACTATAAGGGTGGAACGCTGTCAGACATTTTTCCAATTTTCCTTGAACTCGTCATTTCATGTAGAAGGTCACTAGAGACTTCGTGTCAGATCACCATGTAAAAAGATCCTAGGAATCGATAAATACCATAAAATCTTTCGAACGAATTATTTCACGTATTAGCGAGTTTACCTTTATTATGAACGGCATTTAAATAATCAGTGCGTGCGAAGACACGTTTCTAAAACAGAGCGTTCGTTTGTCCCAATGAGAAAAGTTCTTTCTCCTGATAATTGTTTTCCTCAGGAACACAGTATTAAATGTTTGCTTACTGAATGACTCTAAGGCACGTTTGACAACAGCAAGCCATAGTTAATGATGGTGCACGCGGTGAAACGGCAAGAGAAGTGAAGCAAATATGACGTACATGATGATACATTTAACCCCTTTTACTAAGCATAGCTTTAAGCATCAAGTGGAACAATTATTACTTAGTTAAATTAAGTTCACAGTTAGCATGCCGTTAGATTTTACGGAACCTTTATACGGAAACATTTATCCTAGTTAGGTAAAAATTCCTCTCGTATAGGAGGCTTTACTCCCAAATCCTTGAGTCTCAACTTCAACTAGTAGCTTAAATTGACGAGCTTATCAATGAGGATAAATAAGCAAACCGTTATACCCAATGCACAAGGGATGGTTGCATTCTTCCTGCTGTAACATGAATTTAGCCGCCAATAGCGAATCCCCTTGTTAATGGGAAATCACGTCTGAGTGCGATTGTTGCCAGGCAGCTTTTGCGTCCATCTGGTTGCGTGTTTTTTTCCAAAGGAGTCCTTCGACGTACTCTTCTGCCTTTTACTAGACACCGTTGCATCTTCAGAATGGCAGGCGAACGATTTATTAATTATTTGCCTGTATAGCAGCGTCTTGGAGAGTATGCGCTTTCCACGGTCATACTGGTCGGACCGCTATTGCCAAGTGTATTGACTCTCATCATATTGGTATGGCAAAGATCAAGGCTGTAGTTATGTCGGATACAGACACATACAATGAGGCTTTAGACAGGTTAATGGATCCAGTTTACTGCCCGTACGCCGGTAAAAAGTTTTCATGATACGGTTTCACGATACCGACATCAAGCTTTTCGAGGTTAGATCTTCACAAGTAATCTCTAGCCTTAACGCGAACGATACCTTTTTTTTTTGTTAATATAAATACAATTTGGGTCCATCTATTGTGCAACTGTTTGAACAGGAGACTTTGGAAAGTCAACGCTCAGAGCATTAGCTCAGTTAGTTATGTACCTCCATCCGTGGCCTTTTCAGTGAATGCTGACCCATTTAGTTCTGTAAATATTATGTCTGACATAAGTTCAAACGTCTATCACTTCAGCATTTATCATTCATAGTAATGTAACAATGATCTAGTCATTTTTGGAAATGGCACATCTTGAACAACGCTTGATTAGTACAGATCGCTCAGCGTAATCTCATTGGGCAAAGTTGGTAGCTTTTAGAGAATATTCATTGAACGCATCAACCCTTCATCGAAGCGTTGCGTGTTTACGAAGATGAACCTTCATTAGGTGTTATTTAACCTTGCTGATGTCGATACTGGAACGGCATTTGAAGAGAATGCCTCTTGTTAAACCTTGTCGGAGCCTTCGCAAAATCTTGGTGTTAGTTACAGTGAGCTCTCTAACGGTCTTTTTTGGAGATCATATTATGGTTCTGCGGATGATAAACTTGCTTACCTTCAATGACTTGCCAGCATTTCTTGGTTCACCGAACTATGTTAATATAGAAAAAATGTATACATATTGCGGATGCAGAAAGGATAGGGTACCTACTTGTTATTGAATAAACAAATGTATTTTGAATAACAGTTAGGTATGAACACGTAAATGCAATCATGATAGCGTTACTGACGGAATCTGCTGAAGAGATCATCAAGAAATTCCGTCACGGTAATACGCTAGTTGTGGGCAC